TGACAGCTCTTTGGATCTCATCTTGAGAGTTGACAGCAACAGATTCCAAATGCAAATAGCACACTTGAAATGAACTCTGGACCTTTTATCTGCTCATTGTAATTGGGATGAGGGAATAACACACACCTGGCCATGGAACAGCTGAGAAGCCAATTGTCCCATTACTTTTGGTCCCTTAACAAGTGGGAGGCACATATGCAAACTGTTGTAATTCCTACACCGTTCACCTGATTTGGATGTAAATACCCTCAAATTAAAGCTGACAGTCTGCAGTTAAAGCACATCTTGTTCGTTTCATTTCAAATCCATTGTGGTGGTGTATAGAGCCAAAAATGTTAGAATTGTGTCAATATTTATGGACCTGACTGTACACACAGGACATAGTATTAAATCAAGTACTAGGACCATGAGGATGGAGGGGGTGTGCGCGTGCAGAGCAGTCACCAGTTATTGGTTAAATAGTCCTATCTTCACACGTCGAGCATTAGTATTACAAGCATCATGTGAAAACACAGCTGACTGCATGTGAGAACAAACTCATTGATTCCTGTGTGGGAGGGAGCAGCCCCTCCCTCCTTTAAACAGAGACTGACAGAGAGAAAATACAGTGGAAAAACAAAGCAGAATGGTCTGTGTCAACCCTGGAGACTATGCTTGGTGATGATCAAGAGAAGTACGGGGTGTACTGCTTGTATGGTTCATATAGTGGAAACGCAGCAGATGTGTTCCTGGCCTGCCTGTACAGGAGCCTGTCCCCATTTCTGAAGGCCTCCTCTTTAGCATGACAAAGCTGCTTGACTTTTACTGTGAACCAGGGCTTGTTGTTATTGTTGTTAAGTAGGTCAGTAGCTCTAATTTTGCCTACTTGGTCCATCTCTTTACAGCTTTAAGCTTCTGCCTATAGTTTGGTGTACGGTGTACCATTTTCTAAGGTAGAGAAGCTAGAGAGAATGTTTAGGTACATTAGGAAGTGGCTGGGAGCTGCACAATGCCTCAGCATTGTGGCCCTGTATGGAAAGGGGTTTTGAAGTTCCCTGTAAATAGTTTAACAGAGATGTATCGTGCAGAGTGCAGCATGCGCTTCCTTCTCTACAAAATCTGAATAGATGGATAAGAGAGGACCCAACATGTCCTTTGTGTTCAGGTGTAGCATCACTTTAACACATCTTCTCAGGTTGTAAAGCAAGCCTGGCTCAAAGACGGTACAGCTGAAGACATAGTCAAACGTTGAAATGTTTAGCAGCAGCTATTGAAAGTAGGTGCTTAGAGGTAAACTCAGTGGAGGAGAAGAAGAAACAAGAGGGAATTTTGTTCATCCGTGAGGATGAAAAAGACAGTAAGAAAGTCATTTTAAACAGGCAGGATGCAGGCCAGCTAAAGGCAGGGAGAAATTGGCAAAGTAGATTTAAAGAATCAGCTCATAGTTCCTGAAGAGATAGCCAGCACTGATCTCAGACCAGAAACTATGTTGTGGTCAGAAGCACAGCAGACTGTATTTTGTCAAGCTTACAGTTCCCTGGAAGGCTGCTGTAGATCCAGCTTTTGAGAGGAAGAAACTGAAATACACAGAATAAGCCATGGAGGCAGAGGAGTGTGGCTGGAAAGTAAAGTCTGCCCAGTGGAGGTTAATTGTAGGGGATTTGTAGCCAAGTCAGCTGTCTCTCTGCTAGGTAAGTTAGGTATATACGGGCAGAGCCTAAGACAGGCACTCAGGAACCTAGCTGATGGTGCAGCAAGGTCCAGTGAGTGGCTCTGGAGCAGGAGAAAGGTGTCTGTTCACTTTGAACACAGATAGGACAGAAATCAAATCACCTGCACTGTTTGTGTTTAATTCAATTCATTCATTCATTCATTTTCTACCGCTTAATCCTTGAACAGGGTCATGGGGTATGGCCAATCCCAGCTGGCAATCGGGCGAAGGCGGGGTACACCCTGGTCGCCAATCATCGCAGGGCTAACACATAGACGAACAACCACACACGCACGCACGCACACACACGCACGCACGCACTCCTATGGGCAATTTAGAGACACCACTCAACCTAAGCTGCATGTCTTTGGACTGTGGGAGGAAGCCAGGGAACATGCAAACTCCACACAAAAAGGTCCCGGGTGGGGCCCGAACCCGGAACCTTCTCGCTGTGAGGCAACGGTGTTAACCACTGCGCCTTTGTGCTGCCCCTATTATTGTTGTTATTATTTATCTGCCAACAGCTGCTAGCTAGCTTTAGCTCCCATACCCAAAAATCAGGGTGCAGAGTCATTTTTTAGTCGATCTGGTCAACAGAATTTCTAGTGCGAAGGTTATTGAGTTTGAATTACTACTGTCAGTAAAGTGAAATCTAAATGATTTAAGGAACTTTTAGCCAAACAAAACAAGAATGTATGTAGGTAAATGCAGCGCCTCCCTCCCAGCATTAACATGGCATGATCTATCTGCACATATAACACTTTGCATTTTATCTTATTATATTTTTTATGTTTTCATTGTGCAGCACTTTGTAACTCTGTCTTGAAAAGTGCTAATTAAATAAAGTTTATTATCACTATTTATGATTGTATGTGTACCTGGGGGAAGCAGGTTTGGTCATCCAGGATGTGGAGGATGCCATGTGGCCTGGAGGAGATTAGTTCTAGGCAGGAGTGAATGTTTTTCAGTGGCACTGGGTACCACTGGATCTGTTCTGCACTGTACTCCTCCTGCAGGTCAAACACAGAGTAATATTGAAGACTATACTCTGTAAGCCAAACAAAAATCATGATCTTAACTAATACATTGTCACAACTTATAAACCAGTAAAAAGTGAAAGTGAGCCCAGGAGGACAGCTGGTCATAGACTGAGCCTACAACCCACCGACCTGCTCTTGAGCAATCACTGCCTTGTTGACAAAGTGCTGCAGCTGCTCATTGGCAAAGTTTATACATAGCTGCTCAAAGCTGTTCACTCCCAGGTCCTGCAAAAGAACAAACAAGCTGTGATGTCACATCTAACAACACATTTACTTCATTTGCTTTTAATTTTCAAGATCTCAGTTAAGGCAGGATATCGACCTCAAACCCATAGATGTCCACTATCCCCACCGTGCTGTCCATTTCTGTGGGGCTCAGCCAGTCATTGATCTGCTCAAACAACCAGTCAAACAGCACTGAATACAAGGCTTTGGCAATGGCATCTCTGCAAGAGAGAATAAGGAAAAGTACATGCATTTACAAATGCAAGTTAGAGCTGTTTGTTTTACAGTTTTCTCAAGACTCCACCAGTTTTACACATCAACATCAGTTCAGAGTCTAATTCCTCATGTGTCCAACACACCAAGCCAATAAAGCAGATTTTGATTCTGATTACCTGGATTCTATAGCACTTTCCACAGACAAAGGGCAGTAGATCCTGTCATAGGTTGTCTCCTGTGGAGGAGAGAGCTGATCAGTGTGCACGTTTTTAGTGATATGAATGATAACTCTGCAAGACAGGTGACTGGTGCATGAACAGGTACTAACTGTGACTCTGTGAGTGATGACAGTCTGCAGGGCCTCAGAGGAAATCTGTAACAGGGAGCCAACCCGCCTGGCCTCAGCCTCACTGAAGATACGGGCCACCTCAAAGGATTCACTCTGAAATGACACCAACCAACATATGATACCAATATTTGATGTGATTAATTAGATTAGATTAGATTAGATTAGATTAGATTAGA